CAGTCAAATGGAATTTTTGTGAATCAATATAAATATATCCAAGACCTTGTGGCTTTGGAAGATTTACATGGTGCTAGTTTGGTGGATACTCCTATGGAAGTCAATGTGAAACACAGCAAAACCGTAGGAGATTTGCTGTCTGATTCTACTCTTTATCGACGTTTGATTGGAAGTCTTATATACTTAACAATCACTCGCCCTGACATTTCATATGCAGTTCACCAAGTTAGTCAGTTTATGTCCTCTCCTCGACATCTCCATCTTGCTGCTGTTCGTCGTATTATTTGCTACTTCCTCGACACTGCTATGCGTGAGTTGTATTTTTCCTTTGGTAAATCTTTGCAGCTCACAACTTATAGTGATGCATTGATATCTTAGAAGTGTAAGAAATAAGATCGAGTGGCTAAATCATCTACCGAGGCTGAATATCGTGCAATGTCATTTGTTAGTTCAAAAATTGTTTGGCTGCGAAATCTTTTAGAGGAACTTGGCTTTGCACAATCTGATTCCACCCCATTGTCTGCTGATAATACATGTGTCATTCAGATCGCAACTAATCCCATTTTTCATGAACGTACCAAGCACATCGAGGTGGACTGCCATTATATTAGAGAGGTCTTCAACAAACAACTTATCTCTCTTCCTTACATTTCCACTACCCACCAAGTAGCAGATATCTTTACTAAAGCAATGACAAAGTTATGACATAAGTTTCTTGTTGACAAATTGCTACTGGTTGACTTACCAGCATCAATTTGAGGGGGATGTCAATATCTCAATACAGTTGTACATATTTATTGTAATTGATACTTGTTTATTACAGAATTATTTTATTACCATATATAGATATCAGTTTTAGGAAGTTGTTTATAATCCCTGAAAATCTGTTGTATTAAAGGAACATTTACAATATATTCTTTTTTGTAAAGTTTTACAATTAATATTTAAAGAGAGACAGGGCCTCAAGGAAAGTAAGCAATCTTATTACAGAAATACTCTAGCTTATTATCTTTTTATGTGTCTTATGTTTTTCTGACATGTAACACATGGTGAGTGTGATGATATATAAAGGAGAAGCTCTATGAGACTGATGAAATATGGTTTAACATGTTTTGTCCATTATATAAGGGGTAACCATTTGGCGTATGGTATGTTGCTTCAGCTTTCCTAGGAAATTTTCTAATAATATATATAAGTTTTGAGGCATTGATTTAGAAGGTGCTGATAATCGTCTTCTTTTTATGCATTACTGTTCAAGCTTACAAAGACATCTAAATAGTGAGGAGTTTAGTTTTTTTTAAAATACAGGATTTAATTATTGTAAATAATAAAAAAAAGACACTAAAAGTAGTTTTTCCGGCCTCATAATTATTTCCATTTGGCTCAATTTGGAACTTTACTCGGGCTATATATTTTTACAACTTAGTGAGAGTTTATTGACAGAAAAAAATGAGAAAGAAAAATCATGTGATAAAAATTAAAAATAATTGTAAAAAAATATATGATGGAACAAAATGTTTGTGTTGCATCATAAACGTGTTGCATGAATCACATATATATCCCAAATCAGCCTCACAATGAAACCCCCATCAACCCTTGTTACTGCATCTTCTGGACAACCTTCCCCTTTATCTCTGTTGTCATCATTTCCTACTTCATCTTCTTCACCATAAACATCCACCTATCAGAGGTCAAGTTTTACATAATTGAGTCCTTCCTCACACAATTCAATATCACAAACAACAACACTTTATATTACAACTTCAAGGTCAACACCACAGTGAGAAACCCCAACAACCACATCATTGTATACTATAGGGGCATCATAACAATTGCAATTGCAGGGTACAAAGATAATGAGTTTGTGATGAGGACATGACCATGAGCAAGGGCAAAGATCCTCTTGAAGGACTTGGAGGACCTATAACAAGGGCTAGAGCAAGGAGAGCAAAGAAAGCTCTTCAACAAGTGTTGTCCATATTAATTGAATACAAGCCCAAGTTTCAAGGAGAAAAGACCAAGGTTGTGAATTGCATCATGGCCCAAATGGAGGAGAACTAAGGCGCCACTTTGCTTCAGTTTTTAAGTTTTTAGTTTGTTTTAAATAATGGCCCAATCTTTTGTAAAGTTGGCTGACCAAATTATGTTTTGCGGTTAATCAACTAATGGGCTTTGGTTTGGTTTTATTTCAAGTTGTAATAAGGGCCCAATTGGCAACTTAGGCATCAGCCTTTGGGAGACCAAGAGGCGCATAGCTAGTGGCTGTTGGGTGACTTTTTGGTTGCCACAATTTCAGTTACAATCAGCCATCAAGTAGTTTCATTTCCTAGCTTAGTGGATCATTATTTAAGTGGAATGTATTTTCCGTTATGGAACCTTTGTAATTCTGATTGTAAAGCTTCTATATAAGCTGAACCATTCTTATCAATAAGACAAGTTAAGTTTGATTTAGAAATATTAGAGTTTATCTCTTTTATCTTAGTGAGAGTGATTCTCCTAAGTTCTTGAGTGATTCAAGAACACCTTGGCTGTATCAAAGGGCTTTCACATCCCTTTGTGTGTTGCCTTCCTTGGAAAGAGTGATTCTTTCCTTCCCCCATTCAATTCATCACCAAAATTCCAAAAAAACTCAAATCTGCCCAGAATTATCTCGTTATCATATCTTTTGTTCTACTCAGCCAAATTGAGTGATTCTTGAGCCTAAATTGAAGTTCAAAACGAGAACTTTCACCTCGTTTTAGAATTACCTCAATTGGAGTTCTATAACTCGAGATATCATCGTTTCTAAAATTCTGTCCAGCCACCACCAAACCAGCATTTTTTTCTTTTTTTTTTTTCACTCATTTTAACACCAAGGACCAACACCTAATTTGCCCAAAAATTCATCACTAAATTTTCTAATTTTCCTACAAGGTTCTAACCCTAAAGATCCTAAATCAGCCCTTGTGCAAATGGGGTTCATATCAGTTTGACACCCTTTCACCAAGCTCACAAGAATACAAGCTTCCTTCAAGCAATGTTTGAAGCGCAAAGTGTGATTAAGCTCAAAGCTAAACAACTTGGTGAGTATAAGGAAGAAGAGACAAGTGTTGGGATTTACAATGATTTGGCTGTGGATTTCAATTGTGAACGTGTCAATCCACCAATTATTCAGTGTCTGTTGCTTTAATTTCTGACAAATAAATAGCACATGCTCTCAGTGTCACCAAATGCAGCATTGGTTATTTCTTTGGCGATAGGCAATGATTATGCAAGATGAGACTGACTTAGCACAACCCTCTATGCCCTTTGAAATTAAATTTGAGTTGAGAATGAGAATGTCAATTTTCACACAACTTTTACATTACTCATCAATTTGCAAGTTTATATGAAGTGCTTCTGGTTAATATATGATTATCTACTAAGAATGAATATAAAACTTCCCCATCTTCTATTATGTTGGTTGTATGATGACAAGGAAAAAAATGTTTTTAAAGTCCCACATTATTTGTTTTATGTCTCTTTAAACTCTCTGTATATTTATGCCCTTTTGTTTAATTGTTTGAATCATGGCTGGTGAATGAAAAACATATCATAACACATACATTGTCAAATGGGGCATATATAGACTAAAAAGTAATTCTAAAAATATTATAAAATTTTAATTAAATGATTTTTCTTTCGAATAAAAATAATTTTCAACCACCTTTTTTTTAAAAAAAATAAAAATTTCTCTATCATAATTAATTTTTTATATTTATCATTTATAATTATTTTTATGTACTTATTCTCTAACTTAACATCTCTCAATATTACTTTTATATTTTTAAAATTTTAAAAGTTTTCATTCAAATAACTTATCGGTTACTTGACTTTAAATTTAAATATTTTTCAATATTTTTTATATTTTTAAAAATTTATTATCCAAATATCATAAGTGAATTAACACTAATGACATATTTAGTATTTAGTTTAACATCAAAATTATATTTTATGAAGTTAAAATAAATTTATATTTAAATAAATTTAACGTGAATTTAAATAGATTAATATATAGTTTGTCTTAACAGGTTATTCCAAGATAATGGTCTGGGGCCAGCTACCAGCCACCGTAGATATAGTTAGTTTTTGAAAAATGATGTATCTACACTTTAGAAGAAATATTTTTAGGTGCTTATTTTGTTTTAAGAATGTATTTAATGTGTGTGTATATATATATATATATAATTAAAATAAAAATAATTAGATATAGTATCACATATAATATCAATTTTTAGTGATTTAAATAATAACATTATTAAAAATTTGGTTAAGTAACAAATGTTTGAACCTTTCAATTAAATACTATATTAACCTCAATCATAGTTTAAATTTCCAGTAAATAAATAAATCCAACAATACATACTCTTAGAAGAATTTTTACTTGCATGCAAAACTATGAAAAAAATGTCATTTATATTCATTTTATCATGTTACAATAATATTCTTTATAATGTGAAAACATTTAATCAACTTTTAATTAATCAAAATTGTTATATTTTATAATTTTAATAATAATTTTAATTTACACTTAATTATATTTTAATAATTTTTAATCTGTACAATATTGTACAAAATAAAAAGTTATATATAGTAAAATTTTATTAAAAATTATAACATTTAACACTTTTAATGCATTGAATTCTATTAAAATTTATAATTTTAATAAAAATTTATTATATATAATTTTTTATTTATGCATACTGTACAAGTTAAAAAATTGATATTTTAAAATTACCGTTATTTTATAAAAAAACACATTGAACAAAGAGAAAGAAATCATAAAAGTGTTCGTAAGTAAAATATAATTAACATTATTATTTTATCAAAAAATTAATATTATATATAATTATTTTTATTGTTATATACACACATCTTAATGAAAAGAAAAAAAAAAAAAAAACATCTTTAAAGTCTGCTGAAACATTTTACAGTAAATTTTATAAAAGTAGAAAATGTTAATGTTGTCAGAATTTGACCTTGGGAGGATACCGTTCGAAAGCACACTTGTTAGAGAAGAAGACTCAGAAAAGAGAGGATTGAGCAATGGGAAGGGTGAGAGAGAAAGCAAAATGTGACTACGAAGCTCTGAGAAAGGCTCGAATGTTGGAGAACAAGGTGAGGCATAGCTAACATTTTCATGAATCAATGAGTATATATTATAAATATATGAATGAATTGAAATTATGGTATTTGCAGGCTCGATTGGAGTCCCTCGGTGTTAACAAAACCATTTCTCAGCTTCAAAAACCAAAGAAAACTCGCCCTTACAATAAAAGGGTCTATGGTCTCACCCCCTTACGCCGCTCCCAACGAATCAACACTGCCACCGTCACTGTCACCGTCACCGACCATCTACTGCGAGGATCTCACCATTTGGCCAAAACCACTTCCACTCCCCCTTTCATCCGAAAACAAGGTTTTCACCTTAATTAATACTACTTTGGTAACAATTGCAAAATAAAAATGCATTTTTTGTTTTATTATAAAAATATTAATTTTAACGTATCTAAAAATGTGAATTTTTATTATACTTTTATATAATTGTTTTAATAAAAAATTTATTTTTTTATGCTTTATAGAGTTCTTTTCTATAGTGAATTAGTCTTTTAAAATTATAAATTGTTAGCATATTCCTCCTTTTGTATCATCATTTTAGTCTTTTGTATGGAAGAATCAGTGAAAATCTAGTATGTGTAAGATTAATGTAGTGGCAATTAAATTTCTGAGGACTAATATAGAGACATCTTGATCTATGTAGGATCAAATTAAGAGTAAAGTCATTATGATCCTCCGAAGATACTAATGGTTCTTCATTTAAAAATTAATGCCATTTGTCTCCCTCCTTTCTACGGAATAATTTGACACTATTCTTTATCTTTGATTATAAATTAACATGTGATCACCAAGTGTTTATATTTGGAAGAACAAAAGTTACTGCATGTTTTTGGTGTCTTTTCTGTGAAATGTGAAGGTTTACTGCATTTTTGTGACAGAGAAAGAAACATTGTCTGTAGAGGAAGATGAGATTGAGCAGCGGAGGCCTGCCAATGCACCTTTCATAAAACTGAGCGTTGAAGACCTTAAGGTTTCTGCAGAGATTTCGGCTCAGCGATGCAACAGCAAAGGAAGAGGCAGTGTCTACAATTCAATTTTGGGAATATGCTGCCACTTTTGCAGGTTCACTCTTTTGCTCCCCTTAAGTTTTATTTGTCTTTGGTCCTTATTGGATCCCAATTGCATTGTATGAAACTTGAGTTCCACGTTGAAAGTATGTGATTCTACTAGTATGCGGTCTTATAAGACCTTGGACTCTTAGGTACAATAGCTAGCTTTTGTGGTGTGATTTTTTCGCGGTTCTTAAAAATCTTTACTTTGTTATTTGGGCTAGAAGGTTCACAGTTTATGATTACAGTGTTTGGTCATTCTCTAAAATTTGACACATATCCAATGTGATCAATGTTAGGTCTTTTAAAAAATTTCCTTATAGTTGAAAGGTTAATGTGGAGCTTCATATATAAAATATGTGTGTTGTATTTGAGATTTTGAGGGATAGATAATGATGACAGTGCAATGTAAAACACAAATGCAGGCAAAAGAAATTGTGTGGCGAAGAAGACTGCAAAAGATGTGGAAATTGTGATGTGAATGAATCATGCCTGGGTTAGATTTTAATAAAATGGTGTCTTATTTTGCATTCTTGTTGCATTACTTCCACAATGTTTTAACTAATTGACAATGTTTTCCTAACAGGAAAGACTGATTGTTCTGTCTGTCACTCAAGCACTGGTGTTTTCTGTAGAGCTTGTCTCAAGATTCGATATGGCGAAGGTAAGAAAAATAGTTAATCCAAATTAAATTGCATTATAAAAAATCTTTGGTGTCACATTTACTTCAGTTGAGCCAACTAAGATCAAATCCATCCCAAGGCAATCTTGAGTGCATGTTGTCACATTTATTTGATGTATGCTTATGTGAAATAGTCTTGTTTATCCAACCGACAACATACCCTAATCATGAGGTCAGAATGTTACAAAGCAACAGCTTATTTCTCATTCCTTATAGATAGCAGAATTTAAACTATCTTCTACTCCAAACTTTTTCTTAACTTATAAATTGTGCTTTGAGCTCAATTATGATATTCTATAATATAGCAGCAAGACTCACTAAATATGATTAATAATGATAGTCTAAAACTATTTACCATGATTCTGGTTTAGAAATAGAGGAGGTGAGAGAGAACAAGGGATGGATGTGCCCACATTGCATAGAAGAGAGAGGAATGAAGCCTTACTGGATATGTAACAGGTAGAGCCATTTGAAATTTGAGATCTTACTTTTGAGTTTGGATCCTATAAATATGAGACATAATTGATAGCTCTGAAGCATGTATACGACACTTCCAATAGAGTACTCATACCGGGGATGTTCCTAAAAAATTTGCAAAGTTGGGTACGGTTTGAATACCGGAAATGGAATTTTTTTTTTTTACTAAAATTTGAGTTTTGGGTTTTTTTTTCCAAAAAATCTAACCTAGTTGTCTCTTTCTGGCCTCCAACTTCTACATACCCAGACTTCTTCTAAGCCTCCACGTACCCACAAGCTGTATACTGCTACTTTTTTCCTCCCATCTGTAATCTCAACCATCGGCTTTCACTGGCAAGTGACAAATGATGAGCAGCTACAACAGGGAACAGCGGTACTTTATTTTTTTATTTTTGGAAATTGACGTCCCGTACCCTATTTTTTTTCAGAAAATGTCATATCCCGTACCCATATTCATACCCAGTACCGGTACCGTACCCGCATCCATGCAACATAGATTGATAGTGTCTAAAATTTCTTAAAAAGACTTTATTTTCATTTGAATCAAAATGTTATTTTTTTGTCTTAATGTGATATGTAGCTCAATATGCCTGAGGAAACGAAATATTCCTCCAACTGGATTAGCAATATACAAAGGTTAGACTTTCTATTGTTGTCACTTCCTCTTTGTTATTGTGATTGATATTTCTTCATTGCTAATTTCTTTGTACTGAGTGTTGTACTTTTTTCTTTTCTTTGATTGACTGAAATGAAGCTCGGGAAATGGGATATAAATCAGTGGCACATCTACTAATGGAAGAATTGAAACGTGGAGAAGTGCAAAAATTACAAGGGATTACCACGTAAAATCAAGATGTAATCAGCAGTTATTTTCTGACTTTGTAGAATTTACTTTACTAAAATGCAGGACCTGAGTTAGATTTTCAGTGGCACTCATTTGACTTTGATATAGATTAGTCTGCTTCATTATTTTCTTTTATGAGGATTAGCTTTGTTGATTTACCTGTAATCAGTGTTGAATGCGTATTCAGTCTCACTACACTCTTCCCAAATCCCCAGCAGTTTTAGATGCAAGCGACTATGAATGATTTCTTACCATTGAGAATAACATGCAAGCTAAGAATGACCAAATGAAATGAGACCAAATTCTAGATTGTGTTCAATTCTAATACTCTTAACCCATCAAAGTTTTAAGGGTAATGTCTTGAAGCATTGAGTTTTTAACCGACATAGATCTCTTCAAAATTAAAGATATGTATATAGTACAACTCTCCATTCTACTGGTTGACCTTTGTTTTTTTTTTTTTTTTTCTTTTTGTATTTGTTGAAAATAAAATTCTTGAAGGTATTAACTATTATTAAAAAATAAATATCGAAAGCCGCTCTCAAAATTTAATTTCCAAAAAGGTGGTGTGAAAAATTAATGACTAGAATTTAGTCATAAAATTGGACTCGTGCAGTTTTGGGGTTTTTCAGGTACAACAATGATAGTTATTTGATTTAATGGTCTCTTGTAAACTATCCAAACCTCTCATGTAAATTATCCACTCAACTTCTTGAAGTTAAGTCTGAGTGACGCATTGAACTTTGCATTCAATACAATGCTGGATAATATTTTAAAAAATTATTGAAATTGATAATTGATGTTTTTATTATTAATGAGAATTATTTTATATTACTATATTAAATAAGAATAAATTTAAAATTATAGAAGAAATTATTAAAATTAAGCCACGTAATTTTTATTAATATGATGCATCATAATTTAATTTAAATTATGATGAATTAAAATTAATCCAGAATATTTTTTAAATACTCATTAAAAAAGATTCAATTTTTATTAATATTTAATTTATCTAGAAAAGATAAATATTTTCAGTTTGACAATATATCAATATTTAAATTAAATTAAAATTGAGATTAAATGTAGGAAATACTTTGGAAAGAATAAAAAGTATAAGTAAAATATAAAATTAAACATTTAATAATATAAAAAAAAAAACCAAGTGTCCTAACGAAGATGAGAATGATTTATAAAAATATTTTGGTTCAAAACTGAGAAGTTCAATTTATAAATAATAATAAATTTTAACATATACACAAATTATTTGATTTTATAAAAACATAATTTCTATGGATATGGTGAGTCAAATTTAACATCAAATGAGGATACTTATGAATTATTTTTTTTTATTAAGATTGTGTTTTAATTATGTTTCTCTTAGAGTATAGCCCGCTGAGTATTAAAAAAAAAACTATACTATTCTTAAAATTGAATTTATCTAGAAAATATATTTAATTTGATTAAAAAAAAGTATTAAAAAATATCATAAAAATAAAATGATTTTACACGGATCAACATCACAATTTTTCATGTAAAAATTCCAATTATAAAGAAATTAAATATCTAATTTTTGAGTTTTGGATTTAAAAACCATTCATTGATGTCACATTTGTCATGGTTTAGACGAGAGAGAAAGATTGGTTGGCCTGGTTAGTGACATTTTAATTATATGTCAAAATTCTATGGGAAGGACATCCCTCCTTATGTGTGTGAATTTTCTTCTATAATTCAACTATGCTTTTTATATTTTAGAATATCTAATATCATACTTTTTTTTTTATTAGACTGCATTAAACTTTTAGTATTTTAAAAATTTATGATTTCTTATATTGTCTTTCATTTTTATATTTTTAATGAATTTCTCATGATTATTTTTATAAAATAGTCCTATTTTTTATTGATCTCCTTAAATATCATAATTTTTTATTTTAAGAGGATCAAACAAAAATTTTAAGATATTTAGAATGACTAAATGAGAAACAAAAATTACAAAAAAAATAATAAAAAAATACATTATGAATGACTCAAATAAAAAAATTACAAAATTTTGAAAACACGAGAAATTAATCAAAGTGATAAATAACATGAGGGCATTAATTATTTCATTTTTAGTACATTACACGAAATAGTTGAACTTTATTATGTGCATATAGCCTTATCCTAATTATACGTATACACAGCACTTTATATCAATATGATCATGATGCATCACGATCTACAAAGAAAGAACCAGTGCTGCATTGGGTGACATTGAAAGTAGGTGTTGATTTTCCATTGGAAATCAAAGGAACTCTCAAGCGACGACACTGCACAATTGGTGGATTGAAACGACTACTCTTAAACCTTCCTAACTTAGCTCTGATTCTAAGATCCAAATCCACAGCTAAGTCACTGTAAATCCCAACATTTGTCTCTTCTTTATACTGACCAAGTTGTTTATCTTTGAGCTTAATCACACTTTGCCCATTAAACACAGCTTGAAGGAAGCTTGTATTCTTGTGACCTTGGTCAAAGGGTGTTAAGTTCACCCATGCAAAGTCATTATCTTTGTACCATGCAATTGCTTTGATACCCCTATAGTACACTATGACGTTGTTGTTGGGATTTATCACTGTGATGTTGACTTTGAAGTTGTAATATAAGGTGTTGTTGCTTGTGAGGTTGAATTGTGTGAGGGAGGCCTCAGTTACACCGAACGTCACATTTGAGGGTGAGATCACTATCCAAAAGATGATGGAGAAAAGTACCAAGATGAAAATAATGGCATAGATTGTGCTGGAGATGCAGCAAATGCAGCAGAAGTTGCATCTGGCTTTGCAAGACATGGTGATGGTGATTTGTGACAGATATATAGTGTATGTGATGATTGGTAGATGAAGCTCTTGGTGGTTGATGTGTATTTATAAGGGAAGTTAATGGTTTTGGTGTATGGTGTTTTGCTTGAGATTTTCTTGGTGATTTCCTTGCACTATACAATGTACAAAGAGACATTGACTTTTGAGTTTTGAAACCGAGTAATGAAGATTGAATAATTCTTCAAAGGCATGATTAATCAACAAGTAACAAAATGCCCTTAATTTGGCTAAGGAGATAAAAGTCTAAAACAGTATATTTGAGGAGTATATATTAAATTTATTCTTATCATTTCGTGTTCATTCACTTATTTTCTTACAAATTGATGTTCAATTTTCGCTCGTATGACCGTTTAGATTATCAAATATGTGGGCATTATATTTAATTTTTAGTCTTTATAAATTATGTTTTTGGGAAATCATATTTATTGAAGATGTTAAAAATATAGTGTTTCTAAAATATTTTTGAGAATATTATACAACATATTTTTAGAATATTTTTATTTCATGTGTTAGTTTAAATTTTTTTTTTTAAATATTAATACTTCTTCCAAAATTACCATTTTCTAAATATCCTTCTAATTTTTTAATAATTAATAAATTTTATTCACATTACTAAATAATTTTATGCATATATAAAAAATTTAAAAATTAAATTAAAGCTTAAAATAAAATGGTAATACAAGACACTTATAATTAAAAAAAAATGTATGCACGTATGAATGTGTAAAAGAAATAATGATATTATAAGACATGTCACCTAAGTTGACTTAATGAATAATAAGATAAAGGGGTTACCGATAGAGATATCGAAAATATAATAAGAAGATAAAGAGATGACACAAACTAGGATTAATTAAGTTTTAAAACATTGAGAAATATAATTATATTTTTGTCTTATAAAAAAATTTACCTTTATAAGAACTTTAGATTTTCATCCCCTTAGAAATATTTTCTTAAAATCCTTAATTAAAAAGTTTTCCAAAAATATTTTAAAACATTTCAGTTGTCTTTGGTCATAAAATATTTACTTTGTTATTTGGGGTAGAGGGTTGACAGTTTATGATGATATTGTGTTTGGCCATTCTCTAAAATTATGTATCCAATGTGGTGAATGTTAGGCCTTGTAAACATTCCCCTTTAACACATATCTGTACTTCTAAGACTTAATGACAAAAGTGGAGCAATAGTTAATTATAAAATTGAAATGAATTCATCAAAATAAAAAGATTTGTAGATTTGTAAATGAATCTATATTGCCCTAAGTTTCATATAAAAATCCCAATTGTAAAGAAATTAAATACTTAATTTTTGACTTTCGAAAGCAATAAATGTCGACATCGAATGTTCCTTTAACTTTGAAAACCATTCCTCGATATCATATACTAGTCATGGCTTGAGTCGTGAGAGGAAGATGGCTCGGCCTAATTTTTCGTTGAATGACATTGTAATTATGAGTTGAAGAATTTTTTGAAATAGTTTCAATAAATTATAATTAATAACTAAAAATGAGTTAAAGAATTTTTTGCTAACATTTTTCTTGTAGTTGTATGTCAATATTCTATGGAATGAACAAATATCTTGACCCATATTTGTGTGGTTTCTCTTTTATAGCTCAATTGTGTTTTTACGTTTTAAATATATATTTTCTACCTTTTAATTTATCAACTTAAAATAAGTTATAATTTTTATACTCACCAAGTTGTTTAGCTTTGAGCTTAATCACACTTTGCCCATTAAACACTGCTTGAAGGAAGCTTGTATTTTTTTGACCTTGGTCAAAGGGTGTTAAGTTAACCCATGCAAAGTCATTATCTTTGTACCATGCAATTGCTGTGATGTCCCTATAGTACACTGTGATGGATAGTGTCTAAGATGATTGGTAGGAGAAGGTCTCGGGGTTGATGTGTGACATGTTGATGGGTATTTGTAGGGATTGATAGTAATTGGTTATGTTTTGGTGTATATATGGTGTGTTGGTTGAGATTCTCTTGGTCATTTCCTTTCACTTAGAAAAGGTAGAGACGTTGACTTTTGAGTTTTGAAGCTGAGTAATGAAGATTGAAGAACTCTTCATATTACATATTATTGGTATCATTTTTCTTTCATACAAACTGATTTTTAATTTTTGCTTGCATGGCAGTTAAGAGCATAAAATTTGAGGGCACTTGTCACATTCCAATTTTACATTTCTTTAGTACCGATGAGAGACATTTTGGTACGTAGAATTTTTTTAATATTACGTTCTTGAAATTAAGTTCGTGAGAATCATATTTTCTGCAGATGTTAATAATGTATTTACTATATTAAAATATTTTTGTTAGTGATATACATTTTTTTGAGAATGTTTTTACCTTGGATTTGATATGATATTATTTCTTAATTAACAATATTAATGTTTTCTTTTTAAAAATTAATACCCGCCTGGTTTATAAATAAATCCATGGATTCACAGATCATTGCCTATGAAGTTTCCCAGAAATTAGGTGTTCAGATGTCCAAATTGAGCTGTTGAGCATTTGTTTATATTTATATATAATATATCAATAAAAGGGGCTATTCAAGTTAATCTATTTATTAATAAGAAAAGAAGATATTGTGAGTGTGTATCATCTTCTTTCTTTCTTTCTTCGTGTTGTCGTTCTCCTCTTTTCAATACACGGAGTGCTATTGCTAGCTTTTAAAATCAAAATATTTAATGCATCTAATCACATAGTAATTTAGGATTAGTGAGAATTATAAAATTTCTATAACAGCGACTGCAAATAATTTTTTATTACAATAAAGAATTAGTAATAAAGATTTTGAATAATGACAAAAATGAAAACATAACATAAATTAGGTTTAATTAAGAACTATGAAGGATATTATACATTTTTTATATTATTAAGAACATTTCTATCATGAAAATTTTAAATTCCCATCCCTCCATAAGAATATTTTAAAAAATCAATTCAAAAATTTCTGTAAATAATAATTTCTTATAAAAACATATTTTCAAATATCCATATAAAAATGGGAATTTAACATCCTAACATTATATTTTTTAGATATTTAGAAAAAATCTCATATTTTACGTTCCTTAAATATAAGATAAGGAATTAAAAATAAATAATTTTTATTAAAAAAGCATTATTAGAACTTTTATAATAATTTTTAATATATTTTAACGTGATTTAAAAAAGTAATTTTAACCATATGCATGTCGTGATCCTTATCATGAGGCGGTCTCTAGTCTTGTCAATCAAAGTGGAACAATACTTAATTATAAAGTGAATTTATTTAGAATATAATAATAGAATATGAATTTTTTTTATCTTATTATGTAGTTATAAATTGTTATATAATTAATTAATGATTTTATAACAATTATTTTAAAAACTATATTAATTTTTTATTAAATTGATAGTGTACCCTATATATATATATTGGGTATGTTTTGTTGAGATTTAGACTCTTGAGAGTAAGATTGGTCGATCGGTGAAGATTAGTTTTTGGTTTGGTATGTGGCCAAATGTCAAATTCTATATAATCGGCGTGTGTGTGAATTCACATTCATGAAACTAAAATGCTCTTTCTACAACTTTTGGGACAAATAAAAAGAATTTGTTTTATGTTTTAGATATATTTTTAAAAAGGATACACTTATATCAAAAAGAATATTCTGATACTGTATTAAAAAAATATTAACACCAACTCTAAATATTTTAATTTAAACATCTAATAATAATAAAAATTTATTTAAAACATTATTTATCACATTTTTATAACTTTAATATAATAAATATATTTTTTCAATAAAAAAATGTTATTTTTGAGTGCTTAAACTCAATCTTAAATGATGAGATTAATAAAGTTCGTTAAATTTTAACTTGGTTCTTAAACTAACTAAAAAAATAATTTTAAAACTTTATATAAATATTCTAATATATCAGTAGTTAACGTGAAAAATACTAAACAAATTCAACAATATATTGAAATGATACAAAACACAAGGATTTATATATATATATATATATATGATTAATTTTGATCTTAATCTTTTAGAAACCACAAAAATTAATCAATGGATACAAAATAATGTTCAAAGTCCCAAATTGACTCAAGAAACTCTGAAAGAGAAACAAAATCAAAAATTTCTTCAGCAAAAAGCAAGATTTTTAACCAGTCTAAGTGCGGCCAGTTCAGAAGATGAATTCAAGAAGATAATCGAAACCATATCACCAGAAGTCACAAGTATAGCCTCTGAAAAAGACAGGAGGAGTCTTAATCCAGTAGAAGATGATGACTATAGTTACTTCGACAATGAAGATGATTGCTATGGAATCTCTCTACAGTAACAAGAAAACAAAAGAAGAAAGAAGACAAAAGTTCAAAGGACAATTATTTAGAGACAGACTCGACATAAAGAAAAAGAAGAAACAGATTCGACATAAAAGAAAAAGGAGAAAGCAAAAGAAGAAAGAAGACAAAGTTCAAAGGACAATTATTTAGAGACAGACTTGATATAAAGAAGAAAGAAAAGAAAATGAAAGAACGACAATTAAAGGTAGCATAGTAAAAACTTCTCCTATAAATTGTAAGCTCAGCTTCATTTGAAAGCACGAGCAAAAACCACCCCATAGAGAATCCTCTGATAGAAATCATTCTTGAAGAATATTGATGTTTCCTTGAGATAGCCTACAAGATCTGTGATATTACAATATTGTAAGTTTTATCTTTTATCAAATTTTGAATACATTACCATATTTTCATCATTTTTATTATTTTTTCATCATGTTTATTATTTTAAAATCAGAACTGTATCGATCCAACCAAAACTGGTATCAGAGCCTAAACGGGTTCTGAGTTCAGGAGGGGGGAGAGAGGAATTATTATTTATTTGAACATTATTCTTCATGCCTATTTACATAGATGATGAAGGAAATACAGAAATATACCATACTACTAATATCAAAACTCTCTTACATAAA